TTTTTAACTAAGAAATTTCATTTCCCTTGATAAATTCAAAATGCAAACATGGAGTAGGGGCAGAAAAATAACGACAATAATGTCTTGCCATGTAATTGGAGACAGAAATATTGGCAATATATAACAATTTTTTTTTTTTTTTTTTTTTGCAACGGCAAAATAGCTGTCGCAAAAAGTAGTTTAGGCGGTCGCAAATAATTTGTAACCATTGCTTTGCCGTCGCAAAAAGCATTTGCCACCCCCACATTTGCGTCCCCCATCTGCGGTCGCATAGGCCGTCGCAAAAAGTCTTTTGCGACTGTATTTTTATTATTTGCAATGACATGTGACGGTCGCAAAAAGTGTTTTTTTTAGTAGTGTGTTATAGAAGACGTTGCTTCCAAGCTTAGTGCATCACCATGTTTTTGGCATAACTCATTTGGGAACAGATTATTTTAGTAATTTTTTATTTTATTTTTTTGGTGACTAAAATATGAGGTAAAAAAAATTAGTATGTTTGAAATAACCTTTTGATTTTTTATGAAAATATGTGTAAAAAATAGAGAAAAAATAGAATTTTTAACTTTTTTTTGTATAATTTGTTGAATTTTTGAATTTTTTTAATGATTTTTTTAACTTTTAAACTAAAATATGATGTTGCCAAACGAATCAACTAAAAAGGTGTTATGTTAAACTGGAGAGGGCAAAAGCATTTGCTCTCTGGCTTGCAATGTGCGAAATTTTACTTACCTTGAGTTGTTTTATTCCAAGAGTAGTTTCAGATGACACGAACAAGCCCCCTGATGATCTTCAACGGAATGAATATTTGTAAAAGAGAGCATTCTCCTGTGGGCAGGGGCGACGCTACAAGGGAGCTGATGGAGTCCCATTCCCCCCCCCCCATCAGTTTATGTTAAAAGTTTTAGTTAATAACAAATTGACCCAAACAAATTAAAAATAACAACTCACCCACTCCAATAATAGTTGAATGATTACTTGATAAAAGAGTGTTTGACACTATTAATAATAAAGTTATCATGCAACAATTTCAAAAAATGACACCTTATTGAATGCAATTGTAGAAGTTTATGTATTTTTTTATTTTTATTTTTATTTTGTTAAGACAATAGTATTTTATTAAAAGTTTGCTTTACTTCAAGTTGGATAAGTTTAAATTTTAATTAGTTCAATTTTTTTTTCTCATAAAATTTGTGAAACTTTAGTTTTTTGAGCAACTCCATCCTTGTAATTTCTAGAGTCGCCACTGCTTGTGGGCAGCATGTATGGCGTACTCCATTTTCTTCATTATCTCCATTGTTGTGATCTCTCCTATGTTTCCAGAGCTTAAATGGTATTATATGCTTGTCGCCTATGTACTTGCACCTTCTCTTAGCTTCTGCAATGCCTATGGTACTGGCCTAACCGATATGAACACGGCCTACAATTATGGGAAAGTGGCCCTCTTTGTGCTTGCAGCTTGTCTGAGAAAGATAATGGTATAGTTACAGGACTTGTTGGTTGTAGTCTGGTCAAATCCATTGTTTCCATTTCCCCCGATCTGATGCAGGATTTTATAATTGGCCATCTCACCCTCACTTCTCCTCAATCAATGCTTCTTAGCCAAGCCATTGGTACAGCCATTGGTACAACCATTGGTTGTGTTGTATCTCTTCTTACATTTTTTTTCTCTTCTACACGACTTTCGATGTTGGGAACCCGAATGGGGAATATACAAAGCACATCACGCAATCATATACAGAAACATGGCAATTATAGGCGTTGAAGGCTTCTCTGCCTTGCTGGGTTTTTGCAATCGATGTGTGTGGGACAGTTTAGTTGTATTTGCATGGCACAAGCTCAATAGCAAGAAGGCTAGTTTGATGATTCCTGCAGTTGCATCGGGTTTGATTTGTGGAGATGGGTTGTGGATGCTCCCTACATCAATCTTTCCAAGAATCATCCTCCAATTTGCATGAGCTTCTTCGCTACAAAATAGCACCTGAGAAATCATAAAAGAGCGGACGAGTTCAAATTTGAGAAATATGAAGATAAATGTATACCAACATGCTTATAATGTGATAAAAAATAAAAATAAATTAAAAAACCTAAGATAATTCATAGCTGCACACGGCTTTTTTAACTAAGAAATTTCATTTCCCTTGATAAATTCAAAATGCAAACATGGAGTAGGGGCAGAAAAATAACGACAATAATGTCTTGCCATGTAATTGGAGACAGAAATATTGGCAATATATAACAACCGTTTTTGATGCAGAATGAGATCAACCATTTGCAATGACACTAAAATGTTGACCTACAGTAGTACCACTTATAGGAAACAATGATGCATTAAATTTGGCATTAATCTAAGGAATATACGAGTAAGTGATCCTTATATCATACAAACAGCATGTATATTACCATTTTTTTATAGGGACCCATTCCCTTAGGCAGAAGCTACCCATCTTGGACTCGGTTTTAAGGTAACACAAACATCCTCGGCTCATATGGCAAATATGTTACAGATTGTCCATTTAGACTCACTCTTTCATCAGAAATCATTTTTCAACTGTGAAGTTGGCATGTGATGCAACCAACCATAAGTTTGTTGACAACAGAAGGTGTTTCAATTGTAACCTGCTCCATCACCTAGCTAGCAGAAGTCACAAGCCATTGGAAGTCAATTTTCACTTCGAAAACCGGGGAAAACAAAATGGAGAATCTTAGAAAGATGTTGGGGGAGTTGGTACCTCTTTTTCACAGGCAAACGATATTAAAAAAAATATAAATAAAAAGTCAACATTTCAATGATCAACTTCTCCCATTATGATATCCATGCTTCCTATAATAGCAGCCAATTTCATTCTTTAAACTAATTGAGGATCTCAAGATCTTGTATTTCTCCAACTTCAATTTTTGCCAAAAAAACAGTTCAGAATAAGTTAGACAACAAACCATGCCCACACACTTACACAAAGTGCACATAAGACCATTGTCTAGAACCCCAGGGCCTCTGAAAGTCTCTGCATGCGTGGAAAAAAGGCCCATTTGCTGGAACTCAAGGGATAGAATTCACCTTTAAAATCATATTCACTTCCACTTACAGCAAAGAGAGAGTCCTCTCAAACCAAAGCATAGGTATTCTCAAAAATCATTGCCTGTTGATTAATATGTGGCTTGTTCGCCACTTTGTTCTACCAAGAGTTCAAACGCATATTGATACTGACCAAAGAGGATTAGTTCTTTCAGGACTATTGGACAAGAAAGATTTTAACCTCAGTGATGGAGTGATAAAAAGTAGCTTGCAAGTTCAATGACAAACTACTTTGCAAGTATTTGCCTTACCAAATGGAGGAAGAAAAACCTAAAAGCATCCTACAAACTTATTGCTGATTTATAGCTGTCTAGTTCGTGCTTCAAATGTAATCTCTGTAAAACCTATCAGTTTAGTTTCAGGAAGTGATTGACCAAACAAAGATTCATTTTATAGTGGAAAATTCTTATGAATTGCGTGTGATGCACTGAATCACTGAAAAGATTCATGTTTTGTTTCTTAGCAAAGTTGCATCATGTTCTCCAGTATCACCGATATAAGTAAATAATATATGAAGGTGCAAGTGGCAAGCAAAAGGTCACCATGCCATATATATTTAAAAATAAATAAATAAATAAATAAACCAGAGAGTTAAATATCATTTCCAGAATGCAGACATCATCTATCACAAAGAAAAATATGTGTGACAAAATAACATAGCACATGGTTCAGATTCCCATTAATATAGATGGATAGAATACAATCATAATTTATTGGTCCCAAGAATCCCAAATTGAAAAAAAATATATATTCAATGCTTGGAACAGATTTGAATATATCTCATTATATATACTCCTTGGCCTTCTTTTTGAACTGACCATTCTCTTTCTTTTGCTTTTTTTTTTTTTAGCTGGGGCTCTAATGAAAAAGACATCAGTTGACCTCATGGTTATGAAATATTGAGTTACTTCAGCATAATGAATGACACAACTCAACTCACCAACCAAACGAATTGAAAATTCTCTACCTTAAGAGGCTAAAAAAATCTCAATTGCTTGTAAAATCACGTATCAACCACCTTCAACGTATTTAAATTAACAATGAGCAAATTTCCCTATGGTGGCCACCAAAAGAGAAACTTTAGTTTGCAGAACAAATTGCCAAACCTAGTTGGACATTTAAACAAGAAGCACAAAAGCAATAAGATCAATATCATCCAAAAGGAATCATTTTGAAACCAATCATCCTATGGAAACACAAGTATCTTTCCATGGAACTATTAAAAGTTTGCAACGGTACCATAAGAAACATTGAGAGAATATGTTTCCCATCCTATCACCAAATCCCATTTGACATAAACGGCCAATGAGAGAGACACCAAGCAACACTCAAGCGAAATATCATAGCCCTTTGCCCAAGATAAATAGTTACCATGTTGAGCTCCTATTAACCAAAGAATAGTGGTCCTACATACAATTTATATAGTAATAACTTTCAAGGTGCCAGGTGAGATTATGGTGAGTTGACATAAATTCAATGTCTCTGTGAATGGTTAAAGATTGTACAATTATAAGATTAGAATTTCTCTCCATGTGTTTTATTTTCTCTCCCACTAGCAAGGGCGATCTCAATTCTACTTTGTCAGATAAGATGGTTTCTACATATTACATGGTTCCTTCATGAATTATGATGCAAACACAAACTTGGTTCTCTTTAGCCACTGACTCTACCTCATTTATCTACGTGAACTGAACATTATGTGAAGACAATCATATCAATGTTGCAATTTGAAAAAAAAAAAAAAAATTAATTAAATTAAAATCATTGTTCTTTAATTTGATCACAAGTTAATTGTCCATTGCTTCCGAATAATTGACGACTGTGAATAATACATTATCTCATTTCAAATGATTGTGCATCCAAAGTGAAATTGTAGAAATAAAATCATAATTTTAGATACCATACCATCAATAAAAAAGATAAATCATAAGAACTTGAAAAAGGTTTAACCTTTCAACATCATTCCCAATCCATTATTACAAGTTCTAGTTAACTAATACAGTATTATACAATACAGTACAAAGTTATTCACCAGTAATCAGAATATGAGAGAGAGCCAATAAAAGTAGCAAAACAATTCATTCACTTCCAATTTAGCACATACAGAGCACAAAATTAAGCAATAAATTACAAGAACGCAGAGGTTTCAATCAATAAAACCTGTCTTCAGAAAGACCGCGTTCCTCACTCGCCTCAAATCCCTTCCTTTGAGTGTCCTTCCGACGCCTTCGAACACCGAAAACGTCATCACGTGCGACCTCGCCACCATCACGTGCGGCGGAACCATCTCCTCCTCCTCCTCCTCGGAAACTTCGTCCAAACGTCGCAAATTAGTCACTCCGACTTTCTTCGGCCAAATCGGCACGTTTACCGGAGCCGATTGCCGGAACTTCCTGGGCGCCGGCGATCCGTTGGACACCTCTGAACGCAGTGGAAGGATTGTCCGGGCGGCCGAGAGGGACGGGTTCAGAGCAGGTTTACGGCGGACCAGGGGGTGGTGGTCGTCGGACAAGGCGGCGGAGAGGCCTGATTTCTCCGTATGGAATTGGTGGAGGAGATTGGGAGGAGAATTTGATGGGGTAGGAGGAGAATGGGAGTGGAGGTCGGTGGAACCGGAGGAGGACCAAACGACGTCGCTCTCGTGGAGCTCGAATGGGTTGGGATCGGAATCGGGTTGTTTGAGTACGCCCAAGAATCGGATGGAGGACTTGCGGCTAGAGCCCATGGTTGAACGCGTATTGTCATCTCCTTCCCGGGCGCTGCGAGGAGGATTTTGTTCAATTTTCTGTTTCATTTTCTTTTCTTTACTTTTCTTTTCTCCTGCGCGAAAACGTACAGAGGGAGGGGGACGGTGTGGCTGTTGAGAAAAATGAGAGGTGATGATGCAGCCAGGTTGCAGCTTACTTGTCAGGTGCAAGTTGCCCCCCAACAATTATTACTGTTACAACACACGTGAGCGTGTTTGATTGGACAAACTGAATAAAAAAGATTAGAATCAAACGGATTTGAGTTATGAGACTGTGAATTTTTTAAATTATTTAGTTGGATTAAATATGTATCTTGTATTTATTTTTTCATGAGATTAGATGTCTGGAAAAGACTTTTTTTAGTAAATCCATTTAGTTTGACGGACTGGATAAGATAAGTGAGTAAAAGACTATTTTATCATATTTTAATTATTTTTAGCTAGATTAAATAAAAAATTATTTTATTTTATTTTTTACATAATTAAATAAATTTATTTTTTAAAATTAAATAAATAAAATATCAATAAAAATAAATGTTATTATTTTAATTAAAATTTTAAATAAATTTGATTTTAAAATAATAATAATTAAACAATGAAATTAAATAAAACATTTATTAACATTTAAATAATGAAATTAAATAAAATATAAACAAAATTTTAAAATAAAACATCAATAAAATATCTATAAAAAATTATTTAAAAAAATTAAATAAATAAAACATCAATAAAAAGTTAAATAAAATTATTTTATTTTTAAATTGAGACATTTAAATTTTATTAAATTTTACTAAATATAATACATAATTAAATTGAATAGGGTCAAAATGGTCATTTTATCACCTAATCCCAACAGTAAACAATCACCCAAAACTGTCCCACATTCCCTCCCCGGGATAGTATAATCCCTCATATGGGGGATAAGGAGTCTGGCGGATTAAAAAAAAACACAAACGATGGACTACCCACTCCTTCGGATAAGCAATCCGAATAGTGAATAGTCCCCCCTCTAATCCCCCCAATCAAACACACCCAATATATATAGAAAAATGATTGAGACTCCTATTTTTTGAAGACCCCGACAATTCCCTTTGAATTTTCACTATTGATATATGTATAGGACCTACTCATGTATATGTGAGACCCATATCATTAATGGTGGAGATCCAAAATGGGTTGTGTTGATACTCCCATTTTTGAAGACTCCCATTTTTTAGACACCTCCACAATCCCCTTTGGATCTCCACCATTAATGGTGTGGGTCCCATACATACATGAATGGGTCCCATACATACATCAATTGTAGAGATTCAAAGGGAGTTGTGGGGGTCTTCAAAAAATGAGAATCTCAAGCATTTTTCTATATATTATATATATATATATATATAATGTTAGAGATTTCAAAATTTTGAATAAAAATGTTAAAAATTTTATTAAATGTTTTATATGAGTGTAGGTCTCACATCCATACCCATATAAGACATTTGGTAAAAATTTTAATAGAATTTTTAGGATTTCTAGCATTGCTTATATATATATATATATTACAATTTTCTGATGATGTGGCGTTGGGATGTGGATTTGCTTTTTTACTTTTTAGTTTTTTTTTATTATTATTTTAGGTCTCGTTTGACATGTGCTTGTTTAGTTTAGAGTCAAAAAGTTACTAAAAAAATTCAAAAAAATTATAATTTATACCAAAAAGTCAAAAAATTAATTTTCTCTCTACTTTTTACACATCTTTTTGTAAAAAACTAAAATGTCATTCTAAGTACCTGTTTGGGAAGTGGGTTTGGAGGTTTTTTTGAACTAAAATAGTCACAAAAAACAAAATAGATTTTTTAGCCCAATAAGACAAAATATCACTAGTTGGTGAGCTTTCAACCTCTGCAAATGACTTCCAAGGTGTTGGAATGGATGATGGAGGTGTGGTGCTAAGGGTTGTAGTGCAAATGGACCAAGAAAATTAGGGTTTTGGAGCTTGGAATAGTGACAATGGAGGAGGGAGGTTATATGCCTTAAGCAAAAATGTTCAACCCTTTGATATGAAGAAGAGGGCCTCTCTTATAGAGAAGAGATGCCAAAGCTTCTCTTGGAAGCTTCAAAGATCCTCCATACACGTGTATGGAGGATGCACCAAATGCCCCCCAGCTGGCACAGCTGTAAAGCATTCAGAGAGGGCAAAAAGCAAGAAGCAGGCCGGCCAGTTCAAGTGGCCGGCCGGCCACTCCCCCTGGTCGGCCGATCAGAGGTCAAAAGGTTCAAGAAAAATTGCTGGTCGGCCTACCCAGAAAGGTGGCCTCCCAGATGAGTAGAACACAGCCCTGTGGTGAAAAACTAGAAAATGTGACCTATGAGAGAGAAAAGCCAGCTTTTAAGCAAGGTTCAAAAGGGTCAAGAAGAAAAAACTGGTTGGCCTACCATATTGGTGGCCTCCCAGATGAGTAAATCACAATGGTGGTATGAAAAGCCAGAAAATGTGGCTCAAAAGTGAGAAAAACCAACTTTCTGTCAGAAAAATCGGCTTTTGAAGAGAGAAAATGAGAAAACTGGTTTTTTAGGGGAAAAGGTGGCCGACCACCATACTACGCCCTCCCTAATAGTGAAAATAAGGTCTCTACCAAAAACGGACCAAAACAGATGAAAAACGAAGGTTCGAGGGCTAAAACGCGTGGTTTGGGGCCCTGAAAATAGGTTGTTAGGCACCGGAAGTGGCGTATGACCACGAAGGTGGTCTCCCGGGCCACAGTGTCCCTCTAAAGGGAGGAAATAAGGTGTGTGCAGAGCAAACGGAGATAGTTAAGCGGTCCCGAACCAAGGCATACGGTCGACGGCTCCGAAAATCAAAAACTGGGCTCCAAACGAGAAAAGTGGCCTACGACCACGAAACGTAGCCCACGGCCACTGAGAGATGGTCTACGAGACCCCTCCCTCCTTTTGGGAAGAGAAAACAGAGAAAACAGGACCTGGTTCACAAACCGAGGCAAAGCACAAAAGAGCCTCGAAGTCCGGAGGCAAGGCTCTCAGCCGAGACTCTGAAACCTCAGATCGAGCACAAAATGCAACATCACCGAGCGCTCAACTGGTGACGTCTAAGTCTTAAGTTCAGTCAAAAATGGGGTGTCTACACCTATTTACAGAAAGATCACCAACACACCAACCAATATCCCATTAACATCAGAACAAAGCAAAAATTCCCATTCATATCTCTTCCGTTCCGATTGCTTTGGAGGGAAACCAAAATTCCCAAAGAAAATATTTGGGGCATAGACGTAAATTCAACATCAACAAAATCCACAATTATCTTTATTTTGCGTGATAAAACATGGGCAACTTGGTCTTTACCACTGTGATGGGACTTATTGGTTCATAAGATTAAAGTTAGGACTAAATGGATCAAAAGATTAGAATTTGGGATTTATTGGTGCATCTCCCATAAAATAATCCTTGAATACTGATTATATTAGCAACCATTCCACAACGTGTACACATTTTACTTTCAACCATCCAAAAAATTCATATTTAACGTTAAATTCTAAATGTAATAGAAATTCCATACAAACCAAGTATAATCCAACCTTAAAAATATAATTCCATACATAACAGAAGATTAACCAAATTTAATATCCAAAAGGTAATCTATACCATGCCAAAAGAGTAATCTGTACCACCAAAAAATTAATTTGTACCGCACTAAAAACTAATTTGTACCACGTCAAAAGATAATCCGTACCATGCCAAATTTTAGATATATACCACGCCAAAAAAGTAATTTGTAACAATTCTAAGGATGAAGGTATAAAAACAATGTACTTGTCAAAAAAAGTTGTATCCACAATTCCACGTGCAAAAACCATCTGTAAAAATAAAATTAATTATTAGTATTGACTAAATATTGGCATATTTTAAATTATAAAAAAACATATAAATCTCGAATTTAATTGATCTTTTCAAATTAATCATTAGTTTTACATACTCAAATATATATAAAAGAAAAATATGTCATATATTAGGCAACTAGTAATATTTTACAAGTAATCATTGTACATAATTAATAATTATTTTTCCATTTTTTGGCCCTGAAAGCTGTTTTCGACTAAGTTGAAGGTGTTTTCTACTCTAACTCTTAACCTACGTGCCTTATGTATATATCGTCTGTCTATACAGGTGACATTTGGCATGGAGAAGCTGTCTGTTACATGACAATAGTAGTTGGGGGTTGTTTTGCATTTTCGCTTCCCAAATGCCTTTTTTCAACTAAGTTGAAGGCATTCTTGATTCTAACTCTCAACCTACGTGTCCTATTTACATCACAACCTACGTGTCCTATTTTAGCACGAGGAAGCTACCCGTTAAATCACAACATTGGTTGGGGGGCCATTTTGAATTTTCGCCCCCTGAATGCCTTTTTTGACTAAATTTAAGGCATTTTTTACTCTAATTCCCAACCTACGTGTCCTATTTACGTACTGTCTGTCCCTACCCCAAACGGATTTTTTCAATTAAGTTTAAGGCATTCTCAACTCTAACTCCCAACTTACATGTCCTATCTACGTATTGTCGGTCCCTACATGTCATATTTGGCACGGGAAGCTTCTCGTTACATCACGATAGTGGTTGGGGGGCTGTTTTGCATTTTCGCCCCCCGAACACCTGTTTTCGACTAAGTTTAAGGCATTCTCGACTCTAACTCCCAACATACGTGTCCTATTTACATTAGGCCAATAGTCAAAGGAATTGCTCATGAAAATAAATTGTTGTGCAGAAAGAGAAACATTATATTAGGCTAGAGTGGGATTGTACCTTCCAGGCGATTGAAACTCAAGTCCACAAAGGAAATTCCTAATGAGTTGGGAAAAACACCGACAATTTGGTTGTGAGATAGCTTTGACAATTTCCACAACCAGTCAGGTGTAGTATCTGAAATGGAGACATTTGTGAGGACTATGGATGAAAGTTCTTTCTGATTTCTCTGCCATGCATGCATGGAAAGCAAATAGGATTAGAAATCTAGTGATGTGATTAAGGCCACATTTGTTTGGCTCAATAAAATTGAGGGGATTAAGATTATGGTGCGATTAATTAATGAGATTATTAGTGTGATGGTATTTGGTTAGAGATGTAGGATAAAGAATGTTTGTTTATACGTCACTCGATTAGTAATACTATAGATAGTATTAAAAAAAATAGTATTTATTTTTAGTAATTTTTTAATATTATAAAATTTTTGTTAAACAACTATGTTACATGTATTAAAAATGTTACTTAAAATCTTACTATACATATATATGTCCGAACATTATTGGATGTCAAAAAGTATTGACAACAACCAGTAGCTAGCAGGCCTATGATGGTTGCATGATCCACTAGGTTGTCGAACTCAAAGTGGGGTATAGCAAGTCACGCCCCAAATTTACAAGGTCCGACCCACATGAACAAACCTATAACCAATAAGTAAAAGACGACAATAAGATAGAATAAAATAATATCCCTCATGTAAATAGATATCATAAAGTCACACAATAGTAAATTCTTCCGGTTACATGCACCCTACATACACCAACTAGGTCGAGTGAATGCCATTATTTTATAACATACAATGGTGTCACACTGAAAATTGAAATGCCTGAAGGCTTACATCATACGCAAAGGGTTTAACCCTTACAAGAATGGCACTCGGCCTATTAAATAAACAAATGGCCCTAGGCCTACAAATAAGGGAGCAATCTTACTCAACTCCAACATGTAACACTCCGAATAATACCTTTTACGAAAATTATATGATAATCTTTTTTTTGAATACCTTAAGCTAAATTAATATAAAATAGTTAAATTGATACTTGGAAAAGAAAATTTAATTTTATAATTGTTTGTGTTAAAATGTAATTTAATTTAAAATTAAAAGTCTTTGTATCTTACTAAAAAATGATAATATAATTAGTTTAATATTCGGTCCATAGGATAATTAGTCATTTGTTTCTTTGCCTTTGTTAGTGAAGATTGGCCTTTGTCTTTATTAGTGGATTAAGGATTATGGATAAGAAACATTGAGATAAGGCAACATGTTGGATAAGTCTAGAAAAACTAAGATAAGAAGTTGAACGTGGCAATTGTTGTTCATGAGAGCCACGTGTTCAATTCCGTCCAAGTTCTCCTATAAATAGGTGATGCAATTTAAAAAAAAAAAAAAAAAAAAAGAAGAACGAACGAAAAAAAAAAACGACGAACGAACGAACGAACAAGAGAAAAAAGGAAAAGTGTAGCAGAAGAAAAATAAAGTAGGAATTAATATTAAGGTGAGTTTTATTATATTTTGAGTTACCTTAACTTGCTTTATTTAAATTATGTTTTGTAAATTATATTAGTTTTTAAAGTATATTATTTGTTGAATGAACTCTATTTGCTTAAAAAGAGAAACCCATAGGTATAACCATTTATTAAATGTGTTTTTGAATAATTATTTTATAAGTATCATCACGGATGTCCCATGTCTTGGAGGACTTAAATAACCATTGATTCTCTGATTTGTCACTTTAGTGATGCTCTGATTTGTCACTTCGGTGACCTCTAGTATGGAGCAAAGTGTTGTGCGGAACTAAGTACTACACTATTGTGAAAACTATCTCTAGGGTCCGTACAAGTCACCTCTTGGGTCCATTCATCTATATTATCATGGATCCACTGATCCTCTATTCTGTTTTTTGTTCTAGACCATGGTTGTAATTATTTTGCTTATAAGACTTCTGTACTATATATTTGTTTTTGTAAAATGATTTATACCAAACTATTCTCTATTTAGCCTAAATAATTATCCATAGTGATTTTTGTACCCCTTATGCTCTCAGTATAATGTTTCTCACTATGTCATGTGCTTATAACTGTTAAAACCCTTTCCCCTGTTGGATAAGTCTAGAAGAACTAAGATAAAAAGTTGAATGTGGCAATTGTTGTGCATGAGAGCCACGTGTTCAATTATTAGGAAGGGAGTTTCGCCCAAGTTTTCCTATAAATAGGTGATGCAATAGGAAAGAATGGGAGGAAAAAAAAACAAGCGAACAAGAGAAATGAGGAAAAGTATAGCAAAGGAAAAATAAAGTAGGAATTAATATTAAGGTGGGTTTTATTATATTTTGAGCTACCCTATTTGTTTTATGTAAATTATGTTTTGTAAATTATATTACGTTTAAAATATATTATTTGTTGAATGAACCCTATTTGCTTAAAAAGGGAAACTCATGGATATAACCATTTATTAAATGTGTTCTTGAATAATTATTTTATAAGTACCATTACGGAGGTCCCATTCCTTGGGACACTTAAATAACCATTGGCTCTCTGATTTGTTACTTTAGTGACCCTCTGATTTGTCACTTTGGTGACCCTCTAGTGTGGAGCAAAGTATCATGCGGAGCTAAGTGCCACACTATTGTGGAAGCTACCTCTTGGGTTCATTCATTTAGACTGTCATGGATCCGTTGACCCTCTATTCTGTTCTTTGTTCTATACAGTGGTTGTGATTATTTTGCTTATGAGACTTTTGTACCATATATCTGTTTTTGTAAAATGATTTATACCAAACTATTCTCTGTTTAACTTAAATAATTATCTATGGTGATTTTTGTACCCTTATGCTCTCAGTATAATATTTCTCACTCTGCCATGTGCTTATAGTTGTTAAACACTTTCAGGTAATAAGGCTTAGGGAGAAATGTTAATTCATTATTCATTAGTTGGAAGTAACAGGATCAGTGCGTGCAGTAAGTACAAGGCATTTTGTAATTATAATCTAACTCTAACAATGTAAATAAATAGAAGCTCCGATAGATATATTATTGTTACAATTAAATACGATTTGGGTACCTTTTATTTTATTCCACGGTGTTTTTCATCTGATAAATTTTGGTTTTGATTTATGCTTTTGTCTTTGATTTATGCTTTTGTCTTTTTATGACACCGAACCTCCGGGTGTCGGGTTTGGATCGTGACATAACACATATCCAACGATTAACATACATATCCACAAATAACGCTATATACCTAAAAAACATTTTCAGCCATGTAGGGTGAGCATAAAACCCAACGGAGAATATTTCAAAAACTAAATATGCTCCACTAATATAAATAATCATGATGCAGTACATATATACAATATGCCAAATGCATTTTCAAAATTCCTTTAATTCCCAACGCAAAAATCCTTTCTTTCCAATCCTCAAAATCTTTCTATTTATTCAAAATGTTTTTCGAGTTCAAAACATCTATTTGAATAAAAACCATCTTCAAAACAAGTTTGGTATATCACAATACCAAACAACAAATACATTGCTAAACAGTTTGAAAACATCATTTTCAAAACCAAAACAAAAATAAATAAAATTGGTAAATCTCCAGGGCTAGTGTTCATAATAATGCGCTATACAAGCCACTATGCCATTTTACCGGGATTTTTCGGATAGAATCGGCACCTACCATGTGGGTTTCTGGTCTTACATCGAGGACACACAGGCTAACTTAATTCTACTCTAACACCCCTTACAACTTTACCACTTTATTTATCATTTTTAATTACATAACACATGTGATCCAAAATATTGTTTTCAGGATGACACAAATGTTCTTAAAACATAATCCAAGAATTTTCCAACAACGTTTTCAAAACATGCAGTTCTAGTTTCAAAATTCATTCTAAAACCCATGACATGCACCATGATATGTATGATTTCACAAATATTCTAGTTTGCTTAGTCCACATGCAATTTCTAACACACAGCAATGCTATCCTACACCAATAGCCAAAACAATTATTTCTAATGTAATAATTAAAAAACAACAATATAGATATACAATATAATATTCCAAAAACTTATATATATAATTCCTAATAGCCTAATATTTTCTTAAAAAGTAACAAGACTCGTTATTTCTAAAATCTCATAACATTTTCTTCCAATCAAACCCATTTTTGAAAATCCAACCAACTCCCAAAAATAATATCATTTCAGGTTTTTCACAAATTGGGGCATTTCTACTTTTAAAAGACCACATGCAATTTTATATATCAAAAATAGATTTAATAATAAAATCATAACCAAACAACCCCTAATTTGGAACAAACCCTCCACCCCAAATTATAGTTTCAAAATCAATCAAATACCTACAAATCTATATATCAAAACACGTCATAACTACACTGCCGAACTCATATCGAGTTAAGGAAATAGACCCTACCTCTTGAAGCAAAGATGAGACAAGCCGGAAAAACCTTTGGTGGCGAAAAAATGATCCACTCAGATTAAAATGAAACCCTCGATGAGCTCTACATTTTGGTATATGGAACTAAGGGTAAAAAGTGGGTAGTAGATGAAACCTAAGCCTAAAAACTTAAAATGGGTCAACAACAATGGCGAGAGGGAGAGAGAAGAGAGAAAATATCTAAAAAGTGAGGTTTTCAACGCATTGACGTCTTATATGACGCACCATCGCGGCTGCAATCAAAACTTCACGGGAGGGACGTCACTGACACACTTGATCGCGGGCTCGACCGGGTACACTATGGCTGCAAGCCTGAAGACAAACAGGTTGCTAGCACAACCATGCTTATTATAGCCACGAACAAGCCATCCGTAACCTGCACCGCAACCCCATCGTGGGCTACACACTTCCTCCTACCAACAAACCTGACGGCCTCTTTTGGTCACGGCTCATCACCAGCACAACCTCCCCATAGCTTAATCACGAGCATGACCTTCCTGGTCGTGGGCACGACTTTCTGGTTGTGGGAGTAGCCAGCCCAACTCTAGATTCCTGGGTTGCTGTCTTGTAGCCAACCCAAGGCACTCCAATGGTCCAAGCTACTCAAAAAAGGTCCAAGTCACCCAAGACAACCCCGTGTCCTAACCAAAAATGAAAATTGGTCATGTTAAACTAACTCGACACACTACAATCTCCCCTACTTGGGAAATTTCATCCCTGAAATTGAAGAAACGCCAAAACAAAAAGGCCACCCAACCATACCAAAGAACATAACACCAACCCACGCTTAGATCCAATTTGGGATAAGTTCCCAAATTCCGATCCACTACCTCCGAGCCCCAAAGATACCTGAGCACCACAAACACCAAGAAATGAGCACGAAGGCCTCTTCGACCCACATAACTCATTAGGGTCTATGAGTCAAGAACAACAACCACAACAACCACCACCCATACTCAAAGACACTCACCATGTCACAACCATCGACAATAACCAAACACTATTGAGTACTCAACCCTCGAACACGGAGAGTCAGAAAACTACTCACTTTCATAACTCTCGACCAACTCTCACAAAATAAGAATGTAGAATAAACATAGGTAAACAAATAACGCTATGGCCTAACAAGCCCTAACAATTCCATCCTCCTCACAAAAAAACACACAGACCATACACCGTTACATACCACGCAAAGCGAAACCCCATTACTTATTACACAATATCTCACCTTAACTTCAAGTGAGTTATTTCAACACTAAAGCCCTCATTCTGCTAGTGCCAATGTTCATACAACCCAACGAAACTCACAACAACCAACTACACATACTTTCCCTCTCGCACTACACCAACTTATAAGAGCCTATCGCGTCACAACACTACTGCTACCACGTAGCAACCCAAACCGAACCACAAACAGACACAACACCTCCATTTTTCAGTGACCGATAAGGCCAACCCTTAATTCACCATTCTACACCATCACGTGTTACACGGGGTACAAACAAAATAGTAATTCTCCTGGCCAACCTACCAGTTTGCTAATATTTACCGAACAATCACCCTAAACCAAACCCCAACAAATACACACAACACTCACCAACTTTTCAAAGTCATACCACTCCAACTCCATAAATTAGAAAAGAAGTTTCCAATCTTCTCTACCACCCGAGTCACAATACCATATTCTCAACTACCTTCTCAACCAACCTAGAACACTACTTGAGCCAAAACCATAGCTCACCTTTGAAAGATAATCACCTCATCATTGCCATCCCAAACCTCGACCAACAAACACAAAACCACTGTGACACTACACATAGGTCATACACTAACTATGGGTTATATACCCAACTGACCATTCCAAACTTCTCCTATCTCCACCCTAGGGGTGAGCATGGTCCGGATTGGACCGGATTGGGATAAAGAATCCTAGACTTAGTGAAGAAGTTCGCTATACCACTTCCCAAAACATCTTAGTGAAGAAGTTCGCTACACCACTTCCCAAAACACCACACAAGGTGCTCGAACTGACATCCTTTCACAAAGAACACCCAACCATACATTACCAAGATCCGCTAACATTACTTACCATTAAGGTACAAATCTATACCCAAACTAAACAACGACTCTATTCTCAAAACACTGGTAACCGTAAGTCTCTCTATACTCAAAATAAAACAAAATCCAACATAAAACTTCTAACTCAACTACCAACAGAAAAACTCCACCCTTGGATACATCCTAACACCACGCCTTATCATTCTATTAGGTCAACCCTAAACAAGCCCACTGTGACAATCCGTCACTGAACACCAACTCAAAACCAACTATACCATCCACAACAACCTAGCACCCCTCGTGCCTTACTGAATTACTCATAACAACTATAACTCTACCATATATTCAACTAATTACTCCATCCAACCATAGGGAACAAACCCACCTATTCCAACCAACCATGCATCATTTAAAATGATAAACTCATGGCCTAAATGACCCAACTGACTTGACAAACCCTGAGGGAAGTCAAATCACAACACTCACCCCTCGCCAACCACATTCTGAAACACGCATTTCTAGATTACTACCACTAAGATCTGAACCATACACTAACACTACCTATACATACAAGTTCAATCCCAACTCTGTGTCCCAAAACTCCAACACCACCTACACCCCTTCATCAGGTTACAAGTCTTAGAAACAACTCACTCAATTGGGGAACACACTCCACACTACACTTCATACACCTAACCGACCAAGGTTATAACAAATCCCGAAGTTCCACTAGTCCAAAGACTATCGACCAACACTAGACTTACACGTCATCACTAAAGTGAGTATAAGAACTCAACCCTCACACACCGTCACAAAGGACTCAAAACACCACCATTTCTCATACACACACTAACTGCCACCAACGACAAACCAACCCCAACTCACAAGAAAACTAATACACAACATATACAGCACACACAGAGGTGCCCACTCCGAGTTCACTCCTTATCTCCAAAATCTCTCTATAAAAGAGAACACACAACCTAGGATACATAACACTAGTTTTTTTCCCCAAAATACTAACACAACACAATCACATAAGTAATTACTCAAACAACCACATTGAGACTCCAATTAATTCACATATCATTTACCACATAACGCATAGCACATAATCGAGCTAAGTCTACAAAGATAGTTATTCGTTCCAGTACTCCCTTAGAATTTCCATTAGAAACAACGTCGATCAAGCGCATTTTCAACAAGACCTCCAAGTTAGTCAACTAGACACCGAATAATATCTATGAGTCTCAACACCATGCCCCTAGAAGATGTAACACATAATTATGTTATCACTTAGCACACAACATACAAATGTCCTTACCGAGCATGATGAACCCATTATGGCTAACCACTTCCTTCGAGCCCAAGATTTTCAAACCAGGTTAGCTCTGATACCAAGTTATCACGCCCCGAATTTACAAGGTTCGACCCACATGAATAAACCTATAATCGATAAATAAAAGACTACAATAAGATAGAATAAAATAATATCTCATGCAAATGGATATCATAAAGTCACACAATATGTGAGTTCTTCCGGTTACATGCACCCTACATA